AAAGTTCTGTACCAGAGATATGAGTATATAGATACTGTATATTTTTTTGATGCTGAATCCGAATCAGCAGCTCAAAAATCAATCATCTTTTAGTAAATCGCTAAAATATCCCCTAAAAAAGGATGAGGTAGTGAGAATAAGGTAAAGCTTTATAATGAAATGCAACAATTTGTAAATACTTTGGAAAAACTATGAAATAGTATATTACATATCATTTTTGTCGAAAGAAAAGAATGGTTCAGCATTAACAATTTCTTTTGCCGCTTATAACCAATCGAATGTTACAATTAATTTAGTAAAATAATTTGTAATACTTAATAAGAATAAAACTTGTTGAGAATGTTTTAATGTACGTACAATAAGATATTTTTTTAAACAAATATTTTCGTTATTTAATGAATGTTGACCTTTACCTGGGTAAAAAGTGACATCTGTCTGTGTGGAAAATAATGACTTTCCATCTGGATATACAGTGTACGAAAGTACCGATGGTCTATCAGAAGTTACGTGAGAGCGATAAAGTAAGCCATAGAAATCCATGTGATAGACAAGGATGGCTATAATGAAGGCGTCTAATAGTCAACGCCCATTTCGCCCTTCCACAAATAAGAAGTGGATCTTATTTGTGGAAGGGCGAAACTGGCGGTGACTATGAGAGGCCTTCATTATAGCCATCCTCCTCTATCGCATGGATTTCTATGGCTTACTTTATCGCTCTCACGTAACTTCAGATAGACCATCGGTACTTTCCTACCCTGTATGTCAAAGCCCGAAATATGTTTCTTTCAAACTTACTGTAAGTATATGGTCGTAAATAAAATAATATTTTGAACATTGGAAAGAAATGTATGCAAATTAAATCCACACCCACCCCTACGAAGGGTTTAATTCCACGCGTTAGTGTTATAACGAATGTTAGGGCAAAACAATGTGAAAAATCGTAGCCTTGTATTTTTCTACTACCAAATATAAATATAAATGTTGATAGGCAAGATACCAAAAAAATATAACCTATCACTCAAAGGGTTAGAAATTACCCACTTATCACTTTAAATCACACATTTTTCTATTCAATATTTTCGCCTGAATTTTGTTACCGTGGTTTTTTTGGGGTCGCTGATTACGAATCTGAAGTCCGAATCCGAAAATTCCTAAATAAAAGATGGCAGATCCAATATGGCGGATGTAAAAATCGGAATGTAGAAATTTGGAAAGTTATCATCGAAATTCAGCCACAGGTATGCGAAAGCTTGATACAGAATTTTCTTAAAAGTCAAATGACTCGAGGAGGACATCTGTACGATATCCTCTTTCATATTTAATGGCAATGTTAAAAACATAGAAAAATTTTATCGACTGTTTAATAATAAAATCTTTTTTTCTGACATGATATCCTGCATTTTTTTGGGGACACCCTTTACAACTGTCAATAGTTATTTAAGAGCGAAAATACACCCATGATCAAAAATATCGCTCTGTAACTATATCAATCTCGACAACGTATCATCAATTTTTTCCTATATTCTTCATATTCTGTTTTTCTAATTTAATTTTTTTATTTCAGAACTGGACTCGAATCATTGTATAGTCTTACGTCACCTCTGTTCGAAGGAACACTCCCAGTGGTCTCTCCCTTACTGCGCCCTATCAAGGACAACTTTATTATTAGGCGTCGTGGTTTTATGGACGGTAATTACGCAATTACTGGTAGGAAACGTGTATCACATGATAGATTCATTGATACATCCGAAAGGTTAAATTAGAGAACTGAGGTGAAAGCATTTCATTAGAGATACTTCGTACAACGTGTGATTCTGAGAATTACAAAATGTTTACTGTTCTCATTTTTCTAATAGTTATACCGTAGATATACAGGATAAGAGGGCCCATCTAATTGTTGACACTGCCCATAATTTTAAAACAATTCTTCCGTAGCCAGAAGGTGGTGCAGTCAACACCCTCAAATCTAAGGAAGATTAGTCAGAACTGAGGGTGTCGATCGTGATGCCCCCTGGATCCTGACTTTCTACAAACGTCAAAATTTGTGGGCAAGTGTCAGCCCTTACTTCGACTTATCTGATTGGATTACTTCCATTACATTTCTGAATTGTGTGTTTTTAATTATATTACTAATTTTATTTATCAGAGTATGTACTTTTTATACTTATAACAAATAAATAAGTAGTATATGCCTTTCTGTAAATGTAACATCTCTGTTAAGACCTTATCTATATTTCAACACGATGTACATATTTAATCGGTAGCCTAAAGAGATTAATGATTCTGTAGTAAATGACCTATTGACTATCTTGTACATAACTCACTTAGAAGAAATAAATGATATATAGTATAGTATTAGAAAAAAACTAAATTGCAATAAAAAGTTAATTATATACATTGTACGGATTAAAGTAAGTTGTAATTTCTTGAGATATTTGCATTTTTTCTTTGCCATAAAAAATATTATAAAATAAGTCAAGACATTGATTTAAAGATATCAATTCAATTCGTATTGGCAGATTCTCACTAAAATATACTTTTTTGTGAGCCTTTTAATCACAGTTTTTATAATTTGTCTAATCTGTTGAATATTAGTTAATGAAAGCATTGGAAAAATAAATTTTAAATAACATGTTACTGTAACACAGTAGTAAAAGTCTTTCCAATGATTGCCTCTGCTTTTACGGCAATTTCTACATGGATTATCATAAAAGTAATAAGCAGGAACTTCCTGTTCGATATTGTTTAATGTAAATAAATAGACGGCCTTCCGTGACCCAAAAGATTCAATCGTAGTTTGTTAGAATTACCTTTTTCCATGCATATTTCAATGTTGCAATTATATTAGTTATACGTTACACCTAGCTTGAAAGCATAATAATATTACTTGAAATTATTTTCCTTTATTGGGCAGAAAAACCATTATGTAACTATATGCTTGGAAAATTCCGTTTTCAAGAAACCTATGTAAGAACAGTCCTATTTATGGAAATACAGGGTGATTCACAACTTATCCAAAAAAATTTGGGAATACATACGGCATGAAAAATGGAGTCAATATCGTAAACAATTTTTTGTAAATTGCTTACATTCCGAGAAAAAAATTATTGTAATACTTTCAACCATTACATAGCTGAACAACTGTAGTCTCTAGCGTCATTCGCAATACGCGTGGAGAGCCACGTGGCCTCAGCGACTCCAAATACTGAAATCCGATTTTACAACCGTCGTTGCGATAGTGTTTACAAAAGGTTTTTAGTTGTTAGTGTCAAAAATGGCTTGCGTGTATATCAACTCGGGAGTTGATGGATATCGTTTTAATTTATGCTGAAGCAAGACAACATTTGTGTTATGGTAAAGCAAGACAAGGTGTTAGTTCGTAGAAACTGAATTGAATATTGATTATAAACAAAAAAATCGTTTGTGAAGTTTACCAACGATTCAACGAATTTTAATTTTCCTCGCCGTGTTATGATTTTTTTTCTTTATCTTTTTTTATATTTATGTACATATATTACATTCCGGGAGTTATACGTGCAAATCCGAAATCCGGGACCATACAGCTAATTCCCGGTACAATCACAGAAAATCCCGGTCATACCCATGTGGCTAGATGTTCTTTTAATATGCCGTCAAGATCTGCACTAAAATTTATGAGTACACGCAACACATCAGGGTTGTCCGAATTTTCTGTCTCGTCGTGTCCGCGAAGTGCTAATTCGAAAGCTCCCCAAAATGTTATGCAATCTATGATTTTAGATAATACATAACGGTTTTTCGTTACCTGTTCATTATGTTTCCGTATATTATCCCAATATGCAGAATCTAACTGACTTCTTATGTTACCTAATGAGAACCAGAGAACCAAATAAAGTTTTTGGTAAAAACGAAACGCTATTCATTTTAATAACTATAATATCCGTAGATGCCCAAACGAAAATATTCACACGTGCCGCTCGCAGAAATAAATCACCACATACCACGTACGAAATATTACTGCATTTACTGCAGCAGTGGCTGTCGTTGTTGCAGCCACATAAGCCCATATAAAAGTGTACTGGGTCACTTGCCTGATTAGCCAATAAAAACAAAGGACGCATCTAACTGTTCGCTGTGCACACATTTTGTATATGAGGTTGCATATATTAAGGAGTGTATCTCGCCTCGTAATAAATAATAATATAAGCTCCTAGATTTATTTTAGCGCGAGTACATTTGGATTTTTTAAATATTCTGTTGATATTTAATGATTAAATATATAAAATTGTATGTGTTCTGCAGCTCCGCAGCTCTTATGGTAAAACCGCCACTGGTTCGTACGATATATTGAGATAGAATTCCAAGAAGACACCTGCGTCGCTTTCTTGGAATTAACTTCACATCCGAGGTAGAAAGACATAGGCAGAAAATTTCAAGGCTCGACTCTGCCGCGGTAAATTGTTACAGTAGTTCCGATAAAGAAATTTATTGGCTTATTCTTTTCTTGGAATTCTATATCAACAAATATTATACGGACGGTATGCTCCGTGAGCGAGATCAGCAAAGATGCTGCCATACAATATCTGTAAAACAACAGGGGCTGTTTCAAAATGTATTCTGAATAATACTTTATCTAAAACACCCTATAGGTATTCATTTAGGTGTTTACCGTTGTACTCTCCTGGCATACAACTACTTCATTATAACTATTCACACTATTATCATTTATTTATATTATATTTATTGAAAATAAACTGTTATTTTGCGATTAAAACGCATTTGTTAAAAAAAAGTAGTAGTTTTACTGAAAGAGGTACATACTTGAATAATAAAGGACATAAAAGTAAAGCGCTTACTTAGAACGTAGTAAAAATTTATGATATATAATAAATTTAACTTCTAAGTAAATTCAATTTTGTTAAAAGGTTTATTCTCCTTTTAAACAGGAATAAAACTTTTTTAGTTTTGAGAATTAATTTTACTAAATAAACATGCAATAATACAACATAAATATAAACTACCTTTGATTTAAACTAAGGCCTTTCAACTGCTCTTCTATTTTGGCTATCCTGTCATTGTTTCTGTTTTTCTCCGTTACCAAGTTCATATGGTTCTGGAAAAAAAAATGAATTATATAGAAACATCAATTACAAGACTTGTTAGTTTTCTATACAGGGTGTCCCAGAATAACGTGTACAACGGAAGACTACAGATTCGTGGACTCAAAATAGGCAGATTTGGGCTAATTCACCTATATCCGAAATCGCTTCGTTTGGCCGCTAGATGGCCGCAAAGTTGGTGAAAATTTTTTGAATTTTGTAAATAACTCGAATACCTATTAATCGATTTTGATTTATTTTTGGAGTGTGGACTTTTGCTTTCAATCTACAAATTTTGGTGTTATACAGATTGTTTTTTAAAACTTACCACTCCTACAAAATTGATGTATGATGATAATATCCATTCATAACTTTTTCCCCTTTCCGGCACTAATGACAATTATTTTTATTTGATAGAATTTTGATTAAATGAACGGTTTGGGTATAAAAAATAATTTTTAAATGTCTACATTATCTTGCCATTCATATTACAATATTTAACAAAGTGCTAGTAGGCTCTGATTTTGTAGGTTGACAGTAATTATTTCAGTTTGGTCTTTAAGTCATTGTTATTATTAGCCCTGTTATTTTACCCAATAGACTGGATATGGAATTTTATTTAGAATTTTTGTAAAAAAAAGTTATTGCATTGCCCTTATTACTCAGAGCTAACATGTGGCTTATGCTTGATGGCCCTCCACCACATTTCACTGTAAGGTCCGGCAGTATCTGAATCAAAGATTTTCTCGACGTTGGATCGATATAGGGGATAATGTTCCTGTTAACGGGCCTGAACGTTTACCAGACTTAAGGACGTTTATCGGGTACGGAGGTACGTCTAAAGTTTAACGAAAGTTGATGTAGATTCGCTAGTGACTAAAGTAGTAAGCCAAGACGGTGGTGAGTCAGTCACGAATAAGATGGGCAATAAGTTCCTTTGACCCATTTAAATCACCAGNAATGTTCCTGTTAACGGGCCTGAACATTTACCAGACTTAAGGAGGTTTATCGGGTACGGAGGTACGTCTAAAGTTTAACGAAAGTTGGTGTAGATTCGCTAGTGACTAAAGTAGTAAGCCAAGACGGTGGTGAGTCAGTCACGAATAAGATGGGCAATAAGTTCCTTTGACCCATTTAAATCACCAGGAACCCATGGAATCCTACCCGTACTGTTACAGCAGGGACTGGACTGTGTAGCTCCGGTTTTAAATCACGTCTTCAGAGCCAGCATTGCACTTGGTTATATACCGCGGGCATGGAGATCGACGAACGTGGCGTTTATTCCTAAACCAGGGCGTCCATCGTATGCCCAGGCAAAGGCATATCGCCCGATAAGTTTAACATATTTCCTCCTAAAAACGTTGGAGATAATAGTTGATATGCATATAAGGGACGGGGTGTTGAGGGCAAATCCTCTACACAAGTACCAATACGCCTATCAGGCAGGCAGATCAGTCGACACAGCCCTTCATAGCCTAGTCTCTAGGATAGAGGGGCGATGGACGACAAAGATCTAGCTTTGGCAGCATTTTTAGATATTGAAGGGGCATTTGATAATCGAAATCGAATCTATTAATTCGGCAGTTCGCAACAAGGGCCTTGATGACACTTTATGTCGTTGGATAGATACCATGTTGAGAAACCGGATAGTAACAGCTACCATTTCGGGAGAGACATCCAAGTGTAAGGTAGGCCGGGGCTGCTCCCAGGGAGGCGTACTGTCTCCCTTGTTATGGGGATTAGTGGTGGACGGCGCACTGGAGGGCCTTAATCGAAAGGGATTTTATATACAAGGCTATGCGGACGACTTAGTCGTTGTCATAGTCGGGAAACATAATATTATCGTTTCAGAACTCATGAAAGAGGCTTTGAAATGGATAGATGACTGGTGTAAGGGGCAGGCACTGTCAGTAAACCCTGACAAAACGGTCGTATTACCCTTCACCAGGAGAAGGAATTTGATTGGACTCTCTGAACCTATAATAGGGGAGAGGAGCATTAGGCTTCCAGGGAAGTAAAATATCTAGGAGTGATACTGGATAAAAAGCTTACCTGGAATGCGCACTTGGAAAAAGTGGTGAGTCTATCTTCTGCGGAGTCCGTACGCGCAATACGTACTGAGCAGTGGGCGTACGGATTCCGCATTAAAGGTGGTCTATTTGCAATACGCATTCCGCGTTTGTTTATTATTCTGTTCTTTTATTTTTGACAGGGTTTTAGTGTGTAGTACTGAATAACTTGTGTTAAGAATTTGTGTACTAAGCTATGGCAAAAAGAAATAATGCAATGTTAGCTTTGCTCCTAGAAGAAGAGGAAGATGATGATTTATTATTGTTATCCATGGTAGATGAAAGAAGTGACTACCAAAGTTTATTTAAGAAAAAAAATTCGAAGGCTCTTTTAAAATTCTTATAGAAAAACATTTAAAAACAATGTCGTTATATAGTGCAGGATATCGTGCCACAATATCAATTAAAATTTTATTCAGCTCCTTTGAAAATTTACAATAATTTTTTGTTTTTTCATTTGTCATAGTTGCTTCTTTACAGTATTTTAATATAATCTACTTGCACTACATACAATGTTTGCTTAGCAACTGCTGCGGAAAAGTCGACGAAGTTGCCTCGAGAGCAACTGCGACTGACATACGCAACGGAAGATTTTCTAACGCATGCGGAGTGCGCTATACATATACCAACTGCATTTAGTAATACTCAAAGTAATACATGCGGAATCTGCAGTGCGTACTCCGCGTGCAGATTCCGCAGTAGATAGACCGTAGCTTACGGCGAAGCATACATTGTGTGTATGCCGTCGCCTTATTGGGAGCACCTGGGGACTGAAACCAAAGATGTCTTACTGGTTGTATACATCGATAGTAAGATCTAGGATTCTTTACGGCGCTGTGGTATGGTGGCAAAAAAACACAACAGACCACAGCGAGGGAAAAACTGAATAGAATTCAGAGATTGGCCTGTTATAACGGGGGCGATGGCATCGACCCCGACAGCTGCACTAGAAGTCATGCTAAATCTGCCACCGCTGCATATAGTGGTGGAAAGAGAAGCGCGGCTAGCAGCATATCGACTCAGGAATAACAACGACTGGAGGGGTAGTTCCTATTCCAGGATCATAGACACATCTATGTTGGAACCAATTTTCGGGATCGGTATCTTACAAGATGGTTCCAAGGTTTCACTTCCACAAGCCATTTGAGACTCGAATAGAGGATCAAAGCAAATGGGAGGAAAGGTTTAATACCCTGGAAAGGTGGAGCCTAGTATGGTTTACAGATTGCTCCAAAATGACCAGAGGGACTGGTGCAGGAATATATGGACTCAGACCCAGATGGAGTGCAAGTACAGTCTGGAGGAGTTCCCTACCGTATTCCAAGCAGAAATTTTCGCGATAATGGCGTGTCTGGCATGTACGAAGAAGTTATAAACGTAAACTCATATATACAGGGTGGCTTTTTTCAGCGTCAAAGTCCAATAGCTCGGTTATGGTAGCACCAGGAAAAAAATATTTTAGGCAAAAGTTGCTCCCAGTCAAGTTCTCCACATTTTAAAATTAGTTTGAATTATACGGGATATCCCAGTTCCCCTGAGCGCCAATCAACTTTGTTTTTTTAAATAAACCCTATATATTTTTGCATTTTTGAATTACTCGATGAATTTTAATGTCACTGTGATTAATAATTATGGTGTCTATTATGCACCGTTTCTATGTTAATTGATGATTTCTTAAAAAAATGACGTTTGCAGCGACTAGGAAAACATTATTTATCTCGAAAACTAAAATTCGTAGATAAACGAAATCTTTACCATTGTTCTAAGCATGACCAGAGCTATCAAACTAATTAGCCTCCATTAATATCCGCCCAAGGATGTGCCAAACACGAGCGCCTAAATTTCTGAATTTTCAAACACAGATAACTTGTTTTTTTTCAAATGGAACCATGTACTAGACTTTGTTCAGGTAGATTCAAAATTTAATTTCCTTTCGATTTTGTTAAGATATGTTAGGGTCTATTTCAAACGGTTTTGAAGATAATCAAATTTTTTCTCAATTTTTATAATTGTGGCTGGTATTTTCATATTACCCACTCAACCAATAGATAAATTATAATTAACAAAATTACAAGACAGGTAAAATCAATCTTTTAATTCATAAAAAATTATAAAATTTAACTTAAATGAAAATGGAATGTTAATTTTAGGTAGGCCTAGNATTTTGTTTAAACAAGCTAATGGAGTTTGACGGGGAAATCAGTTACTCTGTTCACCTAGGCCTACCTAAAATTAACATTCCATTTTGCATTTAAGTTAAATTTTATAATTTTTTATGAATTAAAAGATTGATTTTACCCGTCTTGTAAATTTGTTAATTATAATTTATCTATTGGTTGAGTGGGTAATATGAAAATACCAGCCACAATTATAAAAATTGAGAAAAAAATGTGATTACCTTCAGAAATTCAAGAAATCATCAATTAACATAGAAACGGTGCATATAGTCGAGGAAATAAAGCACTAAAAACGGCCTAACCTCTGAATTCTGTGCAGTAAAATGGATTGTGATGCGGTTTTTTGCATTCGATTCGTTAGAGCGTCCGGAAAGTTTGTGACCCTATGTGATCAATGAGAAATGCAAATTGCATCGGTGCATAAGAAAAATGCATTTTTAGAATTGCATCTTGAAGAGTTAAAATATGAAAAATTTACAACTCGGAAAATATTGACGGAAATGAATACAATTTTACTACTCGGGGGTTCTTGGGGTCGCTGAACACGAATATTACGACGGCAACGGTCTCCGTGGTACCTAGTGCTCTAGGGTGGCCGGTTTCCACGTCGTCTCCTGGAGTTTTGTGGAAATTCGTTATAAACTTAGCCGAAACTCGTTACCTCGGGGTTTTTGAGGCCATGGGACGTGTCTTCATTTACCCCTCGAAAGTGTTCGTATTTACCCCAAAGCATTTAATTTTTGGGGTAAATGTGGCCACCTGTTTTAA